CCCCGGGGCCGCGAGGGCGTGCGCCCCCCCGCTGGATTTACTGCCGGCCGTCACGCCAGAGTCTCCGGGAGGCAACTCCTCTGTCACGTCCTCAGCTGAAAAGCAGCTACTTCTGAGCATCGGTGGGGTATTTTGGAGTCAGGCCTCGGTAAACGAAGCCTAGCCGCCCTGTGGGGGGCTTTGGCAGTGCCCTGGCCGTTCTCGGCCCCGCCGCGGTCAGAGCCAGCTCTGACCCCATCAGCTGCTGCGTAAAAGAGGTTTCCGACCAGCCATGGCTCCAGCTGTTCTGCATTGTGATAGACCTTGCCTTTCACGACATCGTGATGTTAAATGTCCGTAGTATAATCCCATCCACTAGAGAGTCTCTATCTGTTGGCCGTTTTTACATTTCACATACGAGCGGCTTTATCTCCCTCTTGACTTAGGCCCACGCCTTATTCATACTGAGCATCTCCAGCTTCCTCAGACACCAATCCTCCAGCCTCGTCCTGGAAACCCCTTAGCTCTTCAGGAAAACAACTCCTTTTTTTAATTGCAATGAATAGCATTCAGTTTTACTGGCCACAGCTTGCTGCAGTCACTGGCTGAGATTAATCTCTATGCTCCAGAAGCTCATTTCTGTTGCTCCTGAAAGGTTTTGTTCTCTTTTTGGAGGTGCTAATCATTGAGCTCTAACGCAAAACTCTGGTTGAGCGCAACCTTTTTGCTGTTTTTAAACAACGCTAAGGCTAGAGAAGGGATGGTTCAGCGCTCAGGACGCCGAACACAAGGGAGACGCTACAATTTCTTTTCTGGCATCAGCTTCCTGCAAGACTTGGACTGGCCATGTGGTCTCTTTGGTCTGGGTATACCAGAAAGGGCTTGCCAGTATACCTCCACCACCAAACTGCCCGCATGGAAACGCAGTGGACAAGAGCTTTTCCTATGCATCTTAAAAGACTGTTCCCTGAATGTAATGGTCTAAACCAGAAAAAAAGAATGCCTTTATCACTAGAAATGCATCGACTTTTAGTCTTGGATTAGCACAGGTATAGTGATGAGGGATGCGAATTATTTAATTTTGTTTTTGCACTCCCGATTGACGTATTTGTATTGAAAAGTTTTGCTAGCACAGACCGGGCCAATGCATCCCAGAACCTTATGCACGAGGGACAATAGGCAATCCAGGCCTCACAGACTATTTAAGAATAAACTCCAGACTGTGAGCTGCTCAGACATCTTGGTTGTCGACTGCATATAGGTGCCATCCTAAAACTGTGAAACTGAATACCCTTAATTTAAAAATTCATGCCCAGATCTGTGCTTTGCCCTTCATCCTTGCATTTACAGAAGGCTAAATCAAGATCCCAGATTTTACATCCAAACGCTGAAATGTTCACAATTCAGATTCCTGCGAAGGCTTACAGACAGGCACATTTTAAAACCACATTGTATAAACTGTTTATGTGCTAAAGGAAACCCAGTGATTTTTCTAATGACAATGGAATTGTTCTCCCCTCGGATAGCTCAAAGAATTCCTGCAATAATAACAAAGAAACCCTCCCTTCGCAATTTGCTTTGGGTGCATGGCAAGATTAAAGAACATCAAGCCCAGCAATGATTTTTCAGAACACCTAAGTACCTTAAAAAGATGCTCATTATCAAAAGTGACGCCTCTTCTCTCATCGTAGTGCCACTGTTAGGCGAGATTCATTTTTTTTCGCAAACCCTTGCAGATAGTAAAACAGTACTTCAGGCTTCTGGGAAGTCCAGTGGCAGCGCAGGGCAGGAGGAGGAGGAGGAGGAGGAGGGCTGCGGCGAGCCGGCCGCCACCGCGGCCAC